GAGCAGGGCTGATCAGGGGTTTGGGGAGCTTCCCCCTGTCACTCACAGAGCAGGGCCAATAGGGAGGTTGTGGCCCCACCCCCTGTCACACACAGAGCCGCAGGGCGATCAGGGGGTTTGGGCTCTGCCCCCTGTCACGCTGCTCCAGGGGCCAGGAGGCCTCGCAGCTCCACTGATCCCAGTGCTGGGAGGCCTCGTGGCTCCACTAATCCCGGTGCTGGGAAGCCTCGAAGCTCTGCTTGACACAGGGGCAGTGAGGCCTCACTGCTCCGCTGATCCCGGTACTGGGAGGCCTCGCTGCTCCCGCTGATCACAGTGCTGGGAGGCTCCGCTGATCCCGGTGCTGGGAGGCCTCGCGGCTCTGCTTGACACAGGGGCATTGAGGCCTCACTGCTCCGCTGATCCCGGTACTGGGAGGCCTCGCTGCTCCGCTGATCACAGTGCTGGGAGGCTCCGCTGATCCCGGTGCCAGGAGACTTCGTGGCTCCGCTGATCCCGGGATGTGAGGCCTTGTGGCTCCGCTGATCCCGGGTTCGGGAGGCTTCGCGGCTCCGCTGATCCCAGTGCTGGGAGGCATATTACCCTTTTACTATATAGGATAGAGGCCTGGTGCACGAGTGGGGGCTGGCTGGTTTGCCCTGAAGGGTGTTCTGGATCAGGGTGGGGGTCCCGCTTGGGTGCCTGGCCAGCCTGGATGAGGGGATGATGGCTGTTTGCAGCTGGTCACACCCCCTTCAGGGTGGGGGTCCCCACTGGGGTGCCTGGCCAGTCTGGGTGAGGGGCTGAGGGCCGTTTTCACGCTGGCGGGCAACTGAAGCTCCCAACCTCTCCTTTTTTTCTTTTTTCTTTTATTCTGGGATTTATTTACCTTCTATGGCTGTCACTGGAACTGAGAGCCGGCTTTCTCTCTGAGGCTCGGCTCCAGCTCTGAGACCTCCGCTGCTGAAAGCAGGTATCTGGTTTGTTTGGGTTCTATAATTGAAACACTGTTTCAACTCCAGCTCTGAGGCCTGGCTGGCTGAAAGCAGATTTCTGGGGTTTTTTTTAGCTTCTATATTTGTAACAATGTTTCTTAAACTGCAAGCTCAGAGCCCAGCAGCGGCAGGCGGGAACGTTGGCTTCCTCCATCACTGAAGCAAGCAAGCCTCCTGTTCGCTTCAAGCTGCCTGGCTGCCGGCCGCCATCTTGGCTGGCAGTTAATTTGCATATCTCGCTGATTAGCCAATGGGAAGGGTACCAAAGTTATGGTTAATTACCATGTTTCTTTATTATTATATAGGATGTTGTGAATACTCTTTGATTGACAGTTAATATACTCCCACTTCACATGTGAGTCATGTTTTATGAAGTCTTCAAAATACAGTTATAGCAAAAGTTCTTATACTAGAACCCCACTTGCTGAAACAGGCTGTCCAAACCTATGCTTGCAGCCTTTGATGTCCTTTCTGGAAGATGGTCAGGATGAGGAGGCATGAAGAACAAAGTCAGAATCGATTTGGAGAGTGTTATAAGCCAAGGTCTCAGCATTTTAAATGTGAACTTCTTAGAAGCTTTGCTGATTCCTAACTTTTAATTAAAAATGTAGTTTAAAGTGAATTTATAGCTTCCATTTGGGAAAATACTTCCTGGAGATGCTTTTGTGAGTGTGTGTGTGTGTGTGTGTGTGTGTGTGTGTGTGTGTACATATATGTTTGAAATAGATGTATTTAGCAATCTGTAATTTTAATAGAGTTTTAGTTTTTAAATGGCCTCACTCATGCCCCTCTGTAATTGGCTTAGGAAGAGACAAAGGTGAGCTTGGCGCTAATAGTGAGTCCCAGTTGTGAGCTGGGCTCCTTATACCACTTAGAAGAGGCACTCTCCCATTGGAGGAGCGGTAACCTAGAATATATTCTTCTAAATCCTTCTCTCAAAGTGTTGACAGAGCAGAGCAATCTTGTTTCCTGCCCTGCCTCACAGTAAGTAAGTTAAACAGAATTCTAACCTAGATGCCTGGACATTTATTGACCTGCAAAAATATTTTTTTCTAAATCATTTCCAATGTACTTGCATCTACATATGTTTTCAATTAAATGCATTAGGCCTTCATTTCTAAGCTCTTACTTCCCTTATAAGCTCCACTGTAATCTCTTTATGTTCATAAAAGTTCTACTATTCAGTTTCCAAAACAAACAAAAAAAGGTGAACATTGTAAAGGTGATTAAAGTGAGGAAAAAAGAACATCAAAGTGATAGATTCTAGGTATTGCATTAAAATTGTATTGTTTACTTAAGAAGTATTGTTACTTTTAGGTAATCCTCATTTTTTTTTAGGTGAGTTTTTAATGTTTTATATCTTAGTTATTGAAACTTTGAATTTTATTGTTCAGCTATATTAATATAATTGGCATATTGCTATATGTAAGATAGAATTACTATCAAAATGTAGATGTTCAAAAATAAAACCTAACCTTGCTTCATGTAAGAGAATTACATGGTAACTTAGCCAAATGGCTCAGTTGGCTGGAGCATCATCCTGTACACCAAAAGGTTGCAGGTTTGATTCCCGGTCAGGGCACATATCTAGGTGGCAGGTTCGATCCCTGGTCAGGGAGCATGCAGGAGGCAACTGATCAATGTTTCTCGCATTAATGTTTCTTTTTCTGTGTCTCTCTCTCCCTTTCTTTCTCTCTCAAAATCAATAAAAACATATCCTTGGATGAGGATTAAAAAATAATAATAAAGAGAATTACATAATCATATTCAGAACTAAAATGTAACTTATGAGTAGATCTGCCAACATCTGCTTTCGTCCAACTTTTGAATCAAGTTAGGTGATTGTAGATAGTATGTTTAGAAAAAAACACAAGATTCCTGTGTAAATGGTGGTGTGAAAATTGAAATCTGACCTAACAGAACATCAAAGCAAGAGATTACTTTGCCTTTTAGAAATGTTATTGTTAACAAAATGGAATTAAGGAAGTAAAAATGTGGCTCTTTCTGGGAAATAAACCTAATGATCTACTTGATGTTTTCATATTAGATTTCTTTTCATGAAAAACATTTGCTTATCACTGGATAGCAAGAATGGCTAACATGCTAAGACTACAATTTAGGGATTTTTTTTTTTTTTGCTTTAGAGCATTAATTCAGTCTGCAGATGATATTGTACTTTGCAGCTCTGATAGCTTAAAGTTCATAACTCAAACTTGTTTGTGCTGACCAGGGGTGGACAGCTGCTTCGTCAAAGTAAGGGAGGATAGTGTCCATCACTGATAACAACTGGGCAAAGCCACATCTGTTAAGTACATACAGTTGTCCTTATCCTAACAACCCAAGTGCTGGTGAAGCCTCTGGGCACCTGCACAAGGGCAGCTTCCATTTGACCATAGTCATGCCCTTAGGGAGATAACTCCATGTTCCGAGTGTGGAGTGTGGAGAAAAAATAAAATAATATTTTCTGCCCAGAAAAGATGCAGTCTCTCCAGAGAGGAGGATCTGACTATCTGACTCTGCCAAAACAGTTAGATACAAATGATTATTGCTGATCATGTAGCTTAGCTAGCCAAACATCTGCACTTTCTGCTGCAGTGAAATGAAAAGTTAATCTACTTTTTCCAAAAGGCAGACATGATGTGGGAATGATAACAGCACTTCTGATGTGTGGAGATGTGCCTTGCTGTTGGAGAGGTTCAAACTCCTGGAGCAAGTACACATGATCACAGAGCGATAACAGAAGAACATGTAGACAACTCGCTGGAAGAATTATTTTGATATACAAGGAAAACTTCTCCATGTCCTTGAAGCATCTCCTGCCTTTGCTGGGAATACTAGTCTTTTACTATTGTTTTCTTTATCTTATTGACTTCAATGTGGGCACTGAATCAGAATTCTGAATGCCTTTTGATATTTTCTTTGAAATAATAGACATTGTTTGGGAGCCTTTTTAAAATATATTTTTATTGATTTCAGAGAGGAAGGGAGAAGGAGAGAGACATAGAAACATCAATGATGAGAGAGAATCATTGATTGGCTGTCTCCTGCACACCCTATACTGAGGATCAAGCCTGCAACCCGGGCATGTGCTCTGACTGGGAATCAAACCCGGAACCCTTCAGTCCTCAGGCCGACACTCTATCCACTGAGCTAAACCAACCAGGGCTGGGAGACATTTTAGAGCAGATCCATTTGGTTTAATCCTGGGCTAGAACTAAATCAGTGTAAATGCTTGCCTATGGTCACATGCACCTTTCTCTTAATTTGTGGGATGAAAATCTGGAGACTTTTACTGCCTTAATAAGGAAACCTGTGCAGAATGCTGACTCCACACTTGATAAATCTTTCCAAATTGCCACAGGTGAAATGAAATATTAATATCCCTTTCAGTTACTTACTTTAAAAAATAAAGTATTTTAATACACATGTAGAACTTTCTGTTCAATTACTAAAGAATTGCATTTTTAAAGCTTCTTACATTAAAAGAAAGGTAATTATTTTCAGAAATTGGAGATACTTCACTAGAGACTTTCTATATTTCATTGTATTATGCAAATCAGCTTTAATTGTAGAAACATCGAATTCAGATAAGCAAACAAAAACAAAAAAAAGCCAACTCCCATAATTTCACTACCCAGATTCAGACACACCATGGTCTCTCATTTTCCTTTGCCCTTATTTTTTCTTTAATAGACATTTAATGCAAACCAATCTGAAATCTGCTATCCTCACTTCCAAACATAGTTCATTTCAATAAATTTACATCACCGTTTTGTTGGCCGTAGAGCATTTTATTGTACAAATGTGTCATAATTTATTTAACAGATTTCCATTTGCTGGTTATTCAGCATGTTTCTAATTTGGCAGTAATCTAAAGAAAGATATCTTCATATGTATATCCTTGCATAATTATCTGAAGTTTTTATCATAAATACATTCAATTTAAACCACAATGCTCCTCGTTTCTTCAGGGAAGAGATTCTGAGCTCTTGGTTAAGGGGATTTCACTTTTTACTTTCATGTTAGGTGTATGAACACCAAGATGGCAGCAAATCACTGAAGCTGGGTGACTTTGGACTGGCTACCATTGTGGATGGTCCCCTGTACACAGTCTGTGGCACTCCAACATATGTGGCTCCAGAAATCATTGCAGAGACTGGGTAAGTGCTTCCTGTGGGATATGCTTGCCAAAGAACTAGTCTGCTTCAAGAATAGGAGAAACAGTACTGCTCTGTCCCATCCAGATAAGTAGCTGTCAGATTTCTTCACTCTTTTTTACTTGAAAGTAGGAGCCATTTTCTCTTTTTTCCCAATCAAATTGCCAATTACTGTAACTTGTTTAAGGCTTCCATTTGGCCTTTGTTAAAGATAGAACAGCAGTTGTTAACTCCAGAGTAAAAAAATGTTTGGAGTAACAGAAAAACATACAGTGTTGATAATTAACTTACTTTTGGAGATAAAAGAAGCAAACACTGCTGTGTGGTGTGCCATGATTACAATCTCCTTTCATTATTTCATTCAGCTGGCCTTATTCTTCAGCCTTGGTTCCATTTTGGCCCTCTTGGCACCATTGATTATCTGTGAGGTACAAACACTCTTAGGTATCACAGGGTCACTGGGAATTTCCTGGTTTCTATGTACAGCAGTATAAAGAAGAGTGAAAATTTCTAGAAAGGGGGTTGACCTAATACTTACCAAGGACCTATTTATTCTTTGCCAGTAACTAAGCTCTTTTACTTAATTCTTACTCTTCCAGTAGATGGTATGATTCCTGATTGGTAGATGAATAAATTCAGGCTTGGATAATTGAATATCATGTAAGTTCATGACTAGATAGTAGTGAGTCAGCATTTAACTTAGGTCTGGTAAGTAAAATGCTTTTTTTTATAAAGATCCCTATTTCTCACCAGCATCATAGGCAGGGTTTTGAAGCACTATACTAGTATGTAAACAGAAGTATTAGGAAAGAGTGGGGCAGTAAGGGAATACAACCCTACTTTTTTTTTTTCCTATCAGCAGCACAAAACCACAGCTAATGGAGTAGGATATATCCACTGTGATTAGTTGGGGATAGTTTTTCTGCTTGTACCATAAACCAGAAAGGCAGAAATACAAAACAGGGATTTCAATAGGGAAACCCCTAAGGTGAGATGTGAGGTAATGAGGACTTTTCTATTAATCAAATTTGAGTGAGTTGGAAGAACACATCTGTAGCCATGCCTGACCTCCCTCACAGGGTGCTATTTTAGGCATTGCTCTGTTTCTACTGTTAGTATTTTGAGACTTGCTGGAGGGAGTGGTATGGGATAGAGGGAGGATTTGGTAGGTCTCTGGAAGACCTTGGTTAGAGCCCAACTCTGCCATTGCCAGTGTGTGATTTTGAGCAAACCTATTTACCCCTCTGAACCTCAGTTTTCTCTTCTATAAAATAAGCAATAATACTTATTTTGTAAAACAGATTTGTTGGGAAAACAAAAGATAACTTGTGTCAGTGCTTTATAAATTGGAAAACATCCTATAAGTATTTATTATTTCAGAGAGTTAGATAGTCTTAAGGCTCCACCAATCATTATTTTAAAATTGATATGACTCCCAGTCAAGCCATCTACAAATTCAATGCAATTCCTATCAAGATACCAATGGCATATTTCACAAAACTAGAACAAATATTCCAAAATTTATATGGAATTACAAAAGACCCCAAATAGCAACCTTGATCTTCAGAAAGAAGAACAAAGTTGGAGGAATCACACTACCTGATGTCAACTATACTACCAGGCCATAGTATCAAAACAGCATGGTACTAACATAAAACACAGACATGTAGATCAAGGGAACAGAATAGAGAACCCAGAAATAAATTTACACCTTTATAGTCAATTAATATTTGACAAAGGAGGCAAAAACATACAATGGAGTAAAGATAATATATTCAATAAATGGTGTTGGGAAAAATTGGACGGATATGAGCCAAAAAATGAAACTAGGCCACCTTCTTACTAGTATACTACACACAAGAATAAACTCAAAATGGATTAAAGACTTAAATGTTAGCTTCCCCAAACCATAAAAATCCTAGAAGAAAACAGGCAGTAAATTCTCAGACACTTCTTGTAGAATATTTTTCCCTTCTCAGGCAAGAAAAACAAAAGAAAAAATAAACAAATGAGACTACATCAAACTAAAGAGTTTTTGCACAGCATAGGAAATCATCAACAAAATGAAAGGACAACCCACTGAATGGGAGAACATATTCACCAATGATACATCTGATAAGGGGTTACTATCCAAAATATATCAATTATTTATACAACTCAACAAAAGAAAGACAAACAACCCAATTTAAAAAATGGGCAAAAGACCTGAATAGGCACTTCTCCAAAGAGGACATACAGATAACCATGTGAAAAGATACTCAATGTCATTAATCATCAGAGAAATGCAAATTAAAACCATAATGAGATATCACCTCACATTGTCAGAATGGCTATCATCAATAAATCAACAAACAAGTGTTGGTGCGGATGTAGAGAAAAGGGAACCCTTGTGCACTGTTAGTGTGAATGCAGATTGGTGCAGCCACTGTAGAAAGCAGTATGGACTTACCTCAGAAAATTAAAAATGAGACTGCCTGTGACCCTGAGATTTCACTTCTGGGAATATATCCAAAGAAACCTGAAATATTATTTTGAAAGAATATATGCACCTCTATGCTCATTGCAGCATTATTTACAACTAGAGGCCTGGTGCACAAAATTCATACACTGGGGGTGGGGGGTCCCTCAGCCTCGCCTGTGCCCTCTTGCTCCTTACCGCCTGCCTGCTTGCTGCTCCCTACTGTTCAGCTCGCTGCTCCTTAGTGTTGCCATGGAGGCTCCTGCCACCGCCACTGTGCTCGCCAGCTGTGAGCCCGGCTTCTGGCTGAGCGGCGCTCCCCCTGTGGGAGCGCACTGACCACCAGGGAGCAGCTCCTGCATTGAGTGTCTGCCCCCTGGTGGTCAGTTCATAGTGACCAGTCATTCCACTGTTGGGTTGATTTGCATATTAGAGTTTGATTATATAGGATAAGATATTGAATGTGAACTGTAAATAAAAAATAAAATTTAAAAAAGAACCAAATAAAATTTTAGATCTAAAAATTTTTGAATATATATATATATATATATATATATATATATATATTTCTCACTTGAGGATGTTTTTAAAATTGACTTTTAGAAAGAGAAACATCCATGTGACAGAAAAATACCAGCAGGCTTCCTCTGCACCTGCTGACCCACTGGGATCTAACCTAAACCTAAGTATGTGCCCTAACCTAGAATCCAACAGGAAATCCTTTGGTGTACAGGTTGAGATTCCAACCAATTGAGCCACCTGGCCAGGGCAGATCTGAAAAAAAAATTTTAAGTGACCTCCAGGCCCTGGTTGGTGTGGATCAGTAGTTAGAATGTCCTCCCAAGCACCGAAAGATCATGGGTTCGATTCCAGGTGAGGGCACATACACAGGTTGTGGGTTCCATCCCTGTCGGATTGCTTGAGCAACTGATCGATGTTTCTCTTTCTCTTCCCCTCTCCCTTCCTCTCTCTCTAGAATCAATGAAAAAAACATATCCTTAGAGGAGGACTTAAAAAGAAAAAAAATGCTGGTTTGGTTCAGTGGATAGTGCTTCTGCAGGCAGACTGGGTTGTAGGCTCAATCCGGGACCCTGGTCGGAGATTCAGCAAGAGGCAACCAATTGATGTCTCTCACATTAGTTTCTGTCTTTCTTCCTCCCTTCCATTCTCTGTAAAAAAAAAAAAAAATCAATGCAAAAATGTCCGCAGGTGAGGATTAACCAAAACAAACAAACAAACACCCATCCCCAGTGTGATTATTGAAGGAGCATATGAAGTATTTGTTGAATGAACAGGAAGGGATGGGACTTCGCTTTCTAACTATGTTAGCAACTCTGCAAGCCAGAGGGTTTATTTTTTATTTTAATTTTTATTAATTGATTATTTTAGAGAGAGGAAGGAAGCGAGAGAAACATCAGTGTGTTGTTCCACTTATTATGCACTCTTTGGTTGCTTCTTGTCTGTGCCCTGAGCAGGGATCCAACCTGCAACCTTGATGTATCAGGAGGAGGTTCTAACCCACTGCCCTGTGCGCTGCCTGTCAGGGTCCCTCAACAAAACCCCTCTGACATGCCCAGGCCCCTGCTGTGGATCGGAGCTCCTCTGCCACAGCGAAGGTTTGGGTTCCATTCTGTCAGGGCACCTACTTAGGTTTCGGGTTTGATCCCTGGTGGGGGCTGACTGCTGCTCAGGAAGTGACCGAGGACAGTTGAGGTCTTTGTGCTCTAGTCATTAGGCAGGGAGCTGGGGTTTCATTGCCGACCTGGCCGACTCCGATCCCCACTACCCTGGTCCTCCATCGAGGACAACTTCAACTATGGCAGCTGTGTGACCTCCACCAGTGTACACATCCGCATGGGTAGGTCGCCCTCCCGCGGCTCGCCAGGCACTGCTGCTGCACAGTTGCCAGGGAGGCAGATTTCGGGTTTCCCAGGGAGAGCGCCCTCCTGGCCAGACTCCCAGGGAAAGTGGGGTCCTGAAGGAAAAGGACTTCGCTCAGCCTCCCTTCGGGGCTCCCGGCTGGAGCAGAGTGCCAGTCCTGCACAGGGCTCAGAGGGGAGAGTCACCCAGGGAGGCCTCCTAGCTAGGTGTTGAGAAAACGAAACTGGAGCCCTTCCTCCTTGAACCCTGTCGTCTTTGGTGTAGAAAGGGATAGATGAAAGCCTCAGCAGCCTTACTGGCACATCTTTAAATGAAGATGTTACTTATTTTTGGTGAAAATAAGTTTATTGTGTAATCAATATTGTATAATCAGTGTGATTACACAATAACCTGCATTGAGCTATCTGCTGAGATGTTTGTGCTTTAGGTCATGTGAACACATTTTATTTTATTTGACACAGCCTCAATGCCCCAGCCTCCAGCGGCACGCAGCCACGCCCACCCAGACTAATTTGCATATTACCCTTTTATTAGATAGAAGACTGGTGCAGTGGTCGGCAAACTGTGGCTCATGAGCCACATGTGGCTCTTTGGCCCCTTGAGTGTGGCTCTTCCACAAAATACCAATTTCTGCACATGAGCCATGAAGTTTCAATCGCACTGTACATGTGCGCCCGCAGGTGGTATTTTGTGGAAGAGTCACACTCAAGGGGCCAAAGAGCCGCATGTGGTTCGTGAGCCGCAGTTTGCCGATCACTGGACTAGTGGCCCATTGCATGAAGATTCGTGCAATAGGCCTTCCTTCCCCTGGCTGCCGGCACCGGTTTTCCTCCGGCACCTGGGACCCAGGCCTTTGGTCCAGCCGAAGCAGCTAGGCTTGGCTTATCTGCTCTGGCTGCTCCCAGCCCCTCCTTTTTATTTTTTTCCAGTTCCTCCAGCGGAGGCCAGGGCTGGCTGGAAGCCTGGGTAGCCCCTGGTGACCCAGGCTCCCAGCCACTCCTTGAGCGGAGTCCAGGGAGCAACCCAAGCATCCTGCTCGCTCCAGCTTCGTGGCCGCACCATCTTCAGTCATCGTCAGTCTTCAATCTGCACCTACGTATGCAAATTAACCGCCATCTTTGTTGGATTAATTTGCATAGTTGCTCTAATTGGCTGGTGGCTGAGTGGCAGAGTGATGGAGTGATAGTTAATTTGCATTTTTCTCTTTTATTAGATAGACTAGAGGCCCGGTGCACAAAAATTTGTGCACTCGGGGGGGAGGGGGAGGTCTCTCAGCCCGGCCTGTGCCCTCTCGCAGTCTGGGACCCCTCGGGAGATAACGACCTGCTGGCTTACGCCTGCTCCCGGGTGGCAGAGGGCAGGCCCAATCCCTAGGTGCAGCCCCTGGTGGGGCTCAGAGCAGGGCCGATTGGGGAGTTGGGGCACCGCCCCCTGTCATGCACAGAGCAGGGCAGATCGGGAGGTTGCGATGCCACCCTCAGTCACGCACAGAGCAGGGCGGATCAGGGGTTGGGGCGCCGCCACTGTCACACTCAGGGCAGGGCCGATGGGGAGGTTATGGCTCTACCCCGTCACACACAGAGCAGGGCCCGTGGGGGGGGAGAGTTGGGGCGCCGCACCCTGTAACACACAGAGCCGCAGGGCGATCAGGGGGTTGGGGAGCTCCCCCCTATCAGGCACAGAGCAGGGCTGATCAGGGGGTTGGGGCGCCTTCCCCTGTCACGAACAGAGCAGGGCGGATAGGGAGGTTGTGGCCCCTCCCCCTGTCACACACAGAGCTGCAGGGTGATCAGTGGGTTTGGGCGCTGCCCCCTGTCACGCTGATCCCGGTGCCGGGAGGCATATTACCCTTTTACTATATAGGATAGAGGCCTGGTGCATGGGTAGGGGCTGGCTGGTTTGCCCTGAAGGGTATCCTGGATCAGGGTGGGGGTCCCCACTGGGGTGCCTGGCCAGCCTGGATGAGGGGATGATGGCTGTTTGCAGCTGGTCACACCCCCTTCAGGGTGGGGGTCCCCACTGGGGTGCCTGGCCAGTCTGGGTGAGGGCCTGAGGGCTGTTTTCAGGCTGGTGGGTGACTGAAGCTCCCAACCGCTCCTTTTTTTCTTTTTTTTTTTTTTATTCTGGGCCAAGGCCTCTGCTGCTGAAATCAGGTATCTGGTTTGTTTCAGTTCTATAATCGAAACACTGTATCATCTCCAGTTCTGAGATCCCGGCCGGCTGAAACCTGGTTTCTGGGGTTTTGTTTAGCTTCTATATTTGTTACAATGTTTCAAACTGCCAGCTCAGAGGCCGGCAGCAGCAGGCGGGGAATGTTGGAGTCCTCCTTCACTGAAGCAAGCAAGCCTCATGTTCGCTTCCAGCTGCCTGGCTGCCGGCCGCCATCTTGGCTGGCAGTTAATTTGCATATCGCCCTGATTAGCCAATGGGAAGGGTAGCGGTCGTATGCTAATTACCATGTTTCTCTTTTATTAGATAGGATAGCCAAGATTTGGAAGCAGCCTAAGTGTCCTTTAATACTAGTAGATGAGTGGATAAAAAAGCTGTGGTACATTTACACAATGGAATACTACTCTGCCATAAAAAGGAAGAAAATTTTACTTTTTGCAACAGCATGGATAGATCTGGGGAGCATCAAGTTGAGTGAAATAAGTCAGTCAGAGAAAGACAAGTATCATAAGATTTCATTCATATGTGGAATTTAATGACAAACTGAACTACCAAGCAAAATAGAAACAGACTCATAGATAGAGACCAGGCAGACAGCTCTGGTGGTGGATGGTGTTGGTGGTAGGGGTAGGGTGGAAGAATTGAGCAAAAAAGAAAAAGAGAGACATAGAGAGAACTCAACAGTGTGGTGATTGCTGGGGGAGAGAGCAGTAGAGGTGGAAGAGAATGTAGAGGGGATAAATGGTGATGGCAAAACAAAACAAAACAAAACACAGATGTCCCAAAAGGGTTGCTTTAGACTGGCAAGTAACTCAAGCCAATTTGTTTTGCTCCATGTGAGCAATTCCACTAAACATTTTGTTAGGGGAAAGATGAAATCTAATTTTTAGGAAGAGGCTTGGTTATCATCCATGAGTTTTATTTATACAGGTCTCTATGAAGTGTCTCTATCCAAATATATATCTTGATGAGTATTAGCATATTGTTTGAAATAGGACTTGGAAGATGATTAAAGTAGTAGATGCTGTCAGTGCTCTACCTGTATACCCTTAAGACCACCTATTTCATAATTTCTACCTGACAGCACCTGCAACTCTTTTTTTAGGGGCTCCCTTGGGCTGCTGAGCTTTCCCTGAATGAGTAGGAAAAAGGCTACAGTGACAAGGAATTAATATCCTCCCCAGCAGCGATACCAATTACTGCTGGGAATGAGTATATAGATACCCAGCCTCCTCACCCTACTGTGGGAAAACTCTGAGGTTCCTGTTCTTCCACAGTCTCTCAGAGCTCCTAGGGAGATTCAGCCCCAGTTGCCCTCATTAGTAACTGATTTGATAACTTCCCTTCCCTTCTCTGTCTCATTTCCCCACTCCTTAGCTGGTGTTTCCTGGGATCACCTCCCAAATAAATTACCTGTGCTTGAACATAAAAGTAAAATTGATATGACTATAATAAACCCTTTTGCTGAAACCCTTCACTTACTGATATCTGGATAGGAACCTAGCCATGCATTACTTTGATTTTTATTCATGTGCCTTAGATAATCTCTTTTTTTATTATTCTTTTCTTGAATTCTGTTTACTTGGTGGGTTTTAATTTAGTGTTTGTTGTTGGGTTTGTTTTGTCTGGTTCAGTTTTTTTGGTTTAGAATAGGAGAATCACCTATTTTGCCATGCCCCACAATTTGTCCTGGTCTGACTTTGTAATTCTGATGTCACTTACTTTTTCAGATATGGCCTCAAGGTAGACATCTGGGCAGCTGGTGTAATCACGTATATCCTGCTGTGTGGCTTCCCTCCGTTTCGTGGGTATGGGCAGCAATCTTTTATTAGCACCAACAAAGCATTTCTCTATTCTCAGAAAGATCTGATCAGCCTGCAGCACAAAAAGACAATAATAAGAATTTGACTTATAATGTCTATTATTTTTTTCAGGGTGTGCATGCTAATTTACATGCCTTCTATATATCTTCTTCATATAATTTAGAAACTCATTTTATTGCAATTTACCAAAACTGTTCCATATTAACATTTTGAATTGCTTAAAACTCATTTTACACATTTAAGGGGAAAGGAAGGGCTCCAATGCTTAAGAATATCCTGAGTTGACATTTTAGTCCTGTTTTTCTCTCACTGTTGTCGTTCATCTAAATAGAAGTGGTGATGACCAGGAGGTGCTTTTTGACCAGATTTTGATGGGACAAGTGGACTTTCCTTCTCCATACTGGGATAATGTTTCTGATTCTGCGAAGGTAGGTTTCTAGTGCTTTCCTCTTCCTTATAGCCTGTGTGTCTTAATGGAATTGTTGATTCTGATTCATTATGTCCAAAGAGACTGAATGATATTGTAAATATGATTTCTGAACACATTTTATTTGTAATTGCTAGTTTTTCTAAGATTCAAAGTCATCAACTCATCTGTTTATAACCATCTCAACTTCTCAAGTGCCTCTGTTTCCCTGGCTTCATCTCTCCCTGTTATCATTCCCTTTACCCTGCTATAGGCTCTTGCCATGCCCTACCCACACCAGGCTTCAGCCCACCTTAGATTTCTGTGCAGCTTATTGTTTCAACTCTTTTAGGTCTTGACTTAATTTTATCTTCTCAGAGAATCTTTTCCAGAAGCACCCTGTTTTGAGGTGCAGTTCTAAAACCCTACCTGACTCATCTTATTTTCCTTGTCTGCTTTATTTGTCTTCATAGCACCTATACCCTTATGTCTATCTTGTATACCATCTAACTACCTTTCTACATAGATATAGATAGGTGCATATGTTTTATTTGTATAATTTATTTTCCCACTAGAATGCAAATTCCATGAAGACAAGGATGTTTTTATTTTGTTCATTACTCTATCATTAGTGCCTAGTCACCAGTACATAACTGGTACTCAATATACATAAATGAATGAGTGAATGAATGAAACAGTTAATCAAAGTAGAGGAAGCTCAACATGGGTTGAAATGATAAAGAAATACATCATGAGGATGCTACAATTTAACTTGGATCTTGAAAGACAACCAGGATTTAGAGGAAGTGGGGAACAAGGAATATGGTTTTCTTCAATTAAAACTAAAAGATCAACCTCTAAGAAAACTAAAAATCTTACGCCGAGGCATTAGTAGACCTTGAGATAAAAAACACAACAAAATATTTTAGTTGATCTCTTAAACTTATATCTCTAGGCACTGGCTTAAATTTTTGAAAAATTGATCTTAAAAAGTAATTATCTTTTGATTATTCAATCTATATAACTTTTCTTTTGCTGTGTTCTGAGTATGAATTCAATTTAAAATGTTATTCCTTAGGCCTAGCCACTTTCCATAGAAAAAATTATGTATATTGGGCCCAAGTTTCTCATATTATCCAACTGTGTAAGAATCTACCTCTAGACCTAAAGAAATTAGGGGAATTGAGAAAGGTGCCAGAGGAAAAGTGAAAAGATGTGGGAAAAATCTGCTGAGGTGGGCATGGAGATGATTTCACCTGTGAACAGGCTTTTTAGAAATCTGTCCAACTCTTTCCATAACGTGCCATCACTCCATAAACATAAGAGCTGGAAGTCACTGACAGATAGGACTATTTCTTACACCCCCATGGCACCTGGCAAAGAGCATCACAGACAATAGTTGCTTTAATAAGTCTTGGCCCCAGTTAGGAAGTGAAGGTAGATCTTTGGCAAGATTAATTATCCCCGCCCTGGCCAGTTTGACTCAGTGATTAGAGCATAGGCCCAAAGACCAAAGGTCTCAGATTTGATTACCAGTGGTTAAGGGCATGTACCTTAGTTGCAGGCCCGGTTGGAGTGCAAAGGGGAGGCAACCAATTGATGTGTCTCTCTCACATTAATGTTTCTTTCTCTCTCCCTCCATTCCCCTCCCCTCCATTCTCTCTCAAAAAAAAAAAAATCAATGGAAAAAATATCCTTGGGTGAGGATTTAAAAAAATAATAATGATAATGAATTATCCCCATCATGGAATGGTAATCAGAGCCTATGAATGTAAGCAATAAGGAAATATATATATATATAACCATGTTATTACATGGGAACTTCTAATTCAAAGTTGACAAATGTATGACAGACTCATCATTATAACCCAAGCTGTGCTTTTCTGGTCCAGATAAATTTGAACTTAAGGGAAAGTTTTATTTATTTCGGAACCAATAAATCATTTACTGCTTAATAGTTCTATCTTATTTGTGTTGATTGATCTGGAAATTTTTGAAGCAATTTTTCTTAGAATTCTTTGGCTACTAAATATAGTTTTTGTTTTAACAACTAGCTGTTGGCAATTCTGTATGTCTTTTCTTATAACTTTCTTTCACACTTAAATATGCCATTCTGAAGTTGAGGGAAAAAAACACATTTTTACATTCAGCTGCCAAAAGAAAATTTAGTTAGTGTTTTTAAAATTTGATTTTTATATTAAATTAATTTAGAAAATTATTTTTAAAGAGAAAAATCCTAGAAAAATAAATGAATTTTAATTCTTTAATGTGTGTATTTGTTTTTTCTACTAAAAATACTTTCATTAAATTTATTTTAATATTAATTTCACTTTATTTTTTCCATCCACTATAAGCTATGTTTTTATAATTCCAAATATTCACCTTTCCTTTAACTTCTAAAGATATTAAGTAATTGCAGATAAGTTGAGTTGATATATTAGTACAGTGTGTCCCAAAAAGATGTATACACACTTTAACAGATGACAGCTTAATTTTGAAAATGAAATGTATTTTAATAAACACTGACTTTATAATTATTCAAAGTGTGTGTATACATTTTTTGGGACACCATATATTTAAGATTTAGAGCTTTTCCAAATAAAATAGAACTTCTGCATTTGAAAACACCCAGTGGGATAAAGGGGAAAAAAGACTTATGGCTGTTATCTTTGACCTTAAAAGTTAGACAAATAGAATTGAATGTTCCTTTTTACAGGAGCTTATCACCATGATGCTGTTGGTCAATGTTGATCAGCGATTTTCAGCCATGCAGGTCCTTGAGCATCCCTGGGTAAATGTAAGTGACTTCCTCTTTTCCATATATTTACAATTGCAGATTTCCTAATAATGTCACCTTCTTATTAAAATGTGTTTGTTACTTCCCCTAAAATATGCCATAGTAGTTGCAGGATTGCACACTTGTTCCATGAGGACCATGACATACCCACACTAATACGCACGCTCATGGTCCCTTACACAAAGCATTTTCTCTGATTCAGATGAGACTGCCTTCTACTGGGGAGGGTCACGTGATCACTACCCCCCACCCCACAATCTACATTCTGTGGCCCAGATTAGGTCTGAATACATCAATAAAATGGAGCAGATTTTCTGAGTTAGTGTTACTTTTGTATCATTTCTGCCAAAAATACAAGTGACCAAATGGTTTCTGCATACACCTTGGAGTCCTCCAAGCATTTCTCAAACTTGCCTCTGCTCACAATTTACCTGGGGATCTCATTAAAATGCAGATTCTGTCATAGTAGATGTGAGGCTCTGAATTTCTAAAAGCCCCCAGATGCTGCTGCCATTATATGAGTACCAGGGTCTAATGATATTTCTTTAGCTATGAAGGAATTTTTCAGTGCAGAGTCATTAGTGTTTGACCCCATGAGTGACTGAAGAGCTTTGTTTTGAATAATTATAATTAATACTTATCATGTGCCTAACTTAGAGTCTGCCCAGAATTATTTTAAGTACCTTACATACATTAAGTGATTATGTTCTTCCCAATGACTGTATAACCTAGATATAGATCCTAACTGACATATGGAAGTCCATAATAAGGTTGAATAGTTCTTACTGTCAGAATAGAAGACATATAGAATTGGATGTAGATATGGACATGGACAACTTGTCTATACAGGGACAATTATAAAATTGTTAGCTTTCGATATAAATTTTGCTATCTTCCCTATAGCTTTGAATGATTTGGCTATAAGTCAAAGGCAACAAAATATTCTACTTCTCTGAATTATCACCTTGGTAATTAGTTAAGTAATATTTTCCAAAGTAACTAATTTTTTATGATAAAGTATTATTGAAAGCATAGGGTTGAGACTGATTACATCTGAGATGACATGACATTGAGATCTTGTTCCTAGCCTGACACTCGATAGCCTTTGGACTAAGTTCCGGAACTTTACACATCTGAACCTGATTCCTCACACCCCATTGGAAGGTTATAAGTATACTAGAGGCCCGGTGCAAAAATATTTGTGCACTCAGGGGGGAGAGGGGGTCCCTCAGCCCATCCTGTGCCCTCTTGCAGTCTGGGACCCCTCAGGAGATAATGACCTGCTGGCTTAAGCCTGCTCCCGGGTGGCAGAGGGGAGGCCCAATCCCTAGGTGCAGCCCCTGGTCGGGCTCAGAGCTGGGCCGATTGGGGAGTTGGGGCGCTGCCCCCTGTCATGCACAGAGCAGGGCGGATCGGGAGGTTGCGATACCACCCCTAGTCACGCTCAGGGTACAGCCGATTGGGGGGTTGGGGCACCGCCCCCTTTCACACTCAAGGCAGGGTCAATAGGGAAGTTGTGGCGCCACCCCCTGTCACACACAGAGCAGGGCCGATCAGGGGGTTGGGGAGTTGCCCGCTGTCATGCACAGAGCAGGGCCCATCAGGGGGGTTGGGGCTCTGTACCCTGTCATGCACAGAGCAGGGCCGATCAGGGGGTTGAGGAGCTCCCCCCTGTCATGCACAGAGCAGGGCCGATCAGGGGGTTGAGGAGCTCCCCCCTGTCACGCACAGAGCGGGGCTGATCAGGGGGTTGAGGAGCTCCCCCCTGTCACTCACAGAGTAGGGCCGATAGGGGAGTTGGGGCACCGCCCCCTTTCACACTCAAGGCAGGGTCAATAGGGAAGTTGTGGCGTTGCCCGCTGTCATGCACAGAGCAGGGCCGATCAGGGGGTTGGGGAGTTGCCCGCTGTCATGCACAGAGCAGGGCCGATCAGGGGGTTAGGGTGCTGCACCCTGTCACACACAGAGGAGGGCCGATCAGGGGGTTGGGGAGCTCCCCCCTATCAGGCACAGAGCAGGGCTGATCAGGGGGTTGGGGCGCCTTCCCCTGTCACGAACAGAGCAGGGCAGATAGGGAGGTTGTGGCCCCGCCCCCTGTCACACACAGAGCCGCAGGGGGACCAGGGGGTTTGGACGCTGCCCCTGTCACGCTGATCCCGGTGCCAGGAGCCTCGCGGCTCCGCTGATCCCGGTGCCGGTGCTGGGAGGCATATTACCCTTTTATTATATAGAATAGAGGCCTGGTGCATGGGTGGGGGCTGGCTGGTTTGCCCTGAAGGGTGTCCTGGATCAGGGTGGGGGGTCCCCACTGGGGTGCCTGGCCAGTCTGGCTGAGGGGCTGAGGGCCGTTTTCAGGCTGGTGGGTGACTGAAGCTCCCAACAGCTCCTTTTTTTCTTTTTTCCTTTTAATTCTGGGCCAGCTTTAGCTCTGAGGCCTCGGCTGCTGAAAGCAGGTTTCTGGCCTTTGTTTACCTTCTGTATTTGATACAATGTTGCAGTCTGGCTGGCTGAAGGCTGGCTGACTGAAAGCAGATTTCTGGGGTTTTGTTTAGCTTCTATATCTGCAACATAGTTGCTTAGAGTTGCAGCTGAGAGGCCGGCAAGTCAGGCGGGGAACGTTGGAGTTCGTAGTCACTGGAGCAAGCAAGCCTCCCTGTTCGCTTCAGTGCATGGCTGCCGGCCGCCATCTTGGCTGGCAGTTAATTTGCATATTGCCCTGATTAGCCAATGGGAAGGGTAGCAGATGTACGGCTAATTACCATGTTTATCTTTTATTAGATAGGATGATAGGAGAATGTATGTGAATATGAGCATGTATAGATATACAGCTAAGGTTTGTTTTAAATATTTTTATATTGCAGAGCTTCTGCATTGGTATACCATTAAGTAAAGATATTCATTCCCTCAGCCCTTGGAATAGTTAGGCAGGCAACCAGAGTCCAGAGTGGTCACCTCCAGCCTCATAAACTTTTCATTTGCTCCAGGGCCCTAAATGAAATTTATCCTTTTCCATGAAGTGGGAAGAGTTAGGAAGCATCCCATGTAAACCTTTTATTAAGCCTACAAGATAGGCAGGATGGGTATTATTGTACCTACTTTACAGATGTGAAGATTGAGGTTATGGTAGGAGACTTGTCCAAAGTAGCTAAGTTTGTAATTGAGTTAATATTTGCAGCCAGGTACCCACACTCCAAGCCCATTTGCTTTAAACTCCTATGCACCACACTACATCTACCCTCCCTTTGTTGTATATGAAAGCACTGTGAATATTACAAAATACTTCCTATGTACATAGTCATCATTATGTTTGTTCATACAAGTTAGCAACCTATTCAAAGTAACTTACCTAGGTGCCATGCTTAGATGTACAGGGTGGAAGAGGCACAGACAGGCTCTCTCAATGGTAACAGTTGGTTCTGATTTATATACATGCTATTTAAAAACCCATGGTCCACAAGTTGTCCAATTGCCCTAGAAAGACTAACACTTTAACCAGAGAATAAACCAGGGGTCCTCAAACTACGGCCCGTGGGCCACATGCAAATACAAATATTGTATTTGTTCCCGTTTTGTTTTTTTACTTCAAAAGAAGATATGTGCAGTGTGCCTAGGAATTTGTTCATAGTTTTTTTTTAAACTATAGTCTGGCCCTCCAACGGTCTGAGGGACAGTGGACTGGTCCCCTGTTTAAAAAGTTTGAGGACCCCTGGAATAAACCGAAAAGCTGAATTTGAAATGTGGCCTTTGCAGGCTTATAAAGAACCCATGGAGGAAAGAGATTCATAGATTGATTTTAGATTTTTAAGCATATTATCATCAGAGGATCACTGCCTATCAGGCCTGCCCTCCAGGAACTCTGTCTGATACAACCAGATAGTCACAGGGCAATGGGGGAAGGGCTATCCCCACCAGTCTGTGCTGAGGGTGCCATGGAAGGCTTCCTGGAGGAGGAGCCAGAGCTCCATCCTGGAGGAATCTGGTAAAGAAATGTCCTCTGGAACCAGATCCAGCAGGATGTGAATATTCCTCTATAGTAATAAAAGGGTAATATGCTAATTAGACTGGACATCTTCAAGACAAAGCCACGGTGGCAGGGGCTGAGGCAGAGGCAGTTTGGGGTGATCAGGCCAGCAGGCAGAGGTGGTTAGGGGTGATCAAGCAGAAGAGCAGTTAGGAGCCAGCAGTCCCAGATTGCGAGAGGGATGTTCCCTGAGGGTTCCCGGATTGGAGACGGTACAGGCTGGGCTGAGGGACACCCCCCCATGCACAAATTTCATGCACCAGACCTCTAGTATATAATAAAAGGTTAATATGCAAATTGGCCAAATGGTGAACGACCGGTCACTATGATGCGCACTGACCACCAGGGAACAGATGCTCAATGCAGGAGCTTCCCCTTGGTGGTCAGTGTGCTCCCACAGGGGGAGTGCCACTCAGCCAGAAGCTGGGCTCATGGCTGGCGAGACCAGCGGTGGAGGCGGGAGCCTCTCCCACCTCTGCAGCAGTGCTAAAGATGTCTGACTGATGGCTTAGCCCCGCTTCCCACTGGGAGCGGGCCTAAGCCATCAGTTGGACATCCCCTGAGGGCTCCTAGACTGTGAGATGGCACAGGCCAGGCTGAAGCCCGCAACCCCCCCAAGTGCATGAATTTCTTGCACCGGGTCTCTAGTCTATATATATAAAGAGCCAGGGTCCATAAGGACCTAAGGCTCGACCAAACACCGCAAGTCAGTGCTGGGTTGCTGTGGTGACCCAGCACTGACTGCAGCCGGTACTGGCACAGTGACCCAGCACCGACTGCCAAGGGGGCTGCGGATCAGGCCCGGAGAGAAGCCTGCAGACAGAGAGGCAGGGTCTGATCCGCAGCCTCTGTGACAGCTGTTGATCAGCTGTTGCCTCTCTCTTTCTCTCTGGGCTTCCCCAGCAGCCACACCTCCGTTTCTCTCCAGACCTCCAAGGGGGCTGCTAATCAGCCCGACTCTTTGATCAGGCCCAGAGAT